TACTATAAATTTAAGTAACCTGTGTTTTCTTACAACAACATCAAATGATACTATAAGTTTAAGTAACCTGTGTTTTTCTTACAATAACATCAAATGATACTATAAGTTTAATAACCTGTGTTTTCTTACAATAACATCAAATGATATTCACTCTACCATTCTTAATAACCTCATAGTTACCTCACCTGACGGAGACCATGAGCTGTTCTAATTTCTGCAGCATTTTCCCACTTTTCAAGTAACTGAAAAAGAAATAATTAGTTTAAAACTTTTAGAATATTTAAACCCTGATCTGTAGAGACAGCTTTTCTTGTGACTAAGCCAAAACTTTCTCTTTCCATCACTTTGTAAGCATTAATTATTTATTCATTTTCAGTATCCATAATCATTCATAAAATTAATCTATTGATTAATACCTTTCTTACATGTTCTTTCACTTGATTAGGAATAAATATGTTTTATGTGTAATGTAAAACTAAAAAACAAAAATTGACACAAAACAAATTCTCAGATCCCAAAAACTACTCTATAGTGTACCATGAACATGCCATTGACCAAAGACATCAATGATGTTACGTGCGAGGCAATAGCATATAATAAAATAGAAAGCCTCTCCTCAAAAGGTCTGACAGAGAAAAAATGACATTAAAGGGGCAGCCTATATTATAGCTTAAGTCTAATTATTAACTACCAGTTTTACTTTTATCTATGTATTTCTTCATTATTATTAATTAGATATTAATTACTAACTAGTTTTGATCCTAAGTTTTGGCTACTAATCTGCTGCTATCTTCAGGGAAGTCCCAAGAAGAGCTATTTTATGTGTTGGTGGATTCAATCCTGGGATTCAATCCTTGAGAGAAGCCTGGTGAATCATTCACTCTATTGGGAACTCCCCATGGGACCTTGAATCAACTTGCTGGGATTCAATCCTGGGTCTTCTTGAGAGAAGCCTGGTGAATCATTCACTCTATTGGGAACTCCCCATGGGACCTTGAATCAACTTGCTGGGATTCAATCCTGGGTCTTCTTGAGAGAAGCCTGGTG